CATGTATCTTCCTGTAGTTACCTGTATCTTCCTGTAGTTACCTGTATCTTCCTGTAGTTACCTGTATCTTCCTGTAGTTACATGTATCTTCCTGTAGTTACCTGTATCTTCCTGTAGTTACCTGTATCTTCCTGTAGTTACATGTATCTTCCTGTAGTTACCTGTATCTTCCTGTAGTTACATGTATCTTCCTGTAGTTACATGTATCTTCCTGTAGTTACCTGTATCTTCCTGTAGTTACATGTATCTTGTAGTTACCTGTATCTTCCTGTAGTTACATGTATCTTCCTGTAGTTACCTGTATCTTCCTGTAGTTCCATGTATCTTCCTGTAGTTACCTGTATCTTCCTGTAGTTATGTTTTTCCTGTAGTTACCTGTATCTTCCTGTAGTTACATGTATCTTCCTGTAGTTACCTGTATCTTCCTGTAGTTACATGTATCTTCCTGTAGTTACCTGTATCTTCCGTAGTTACATGTATCTTCCTGTAGTTCCTGTATATTCCTGTAGTACATGTATCTTCCTGTAGTTACTGTTCTTCCTGTAGTTACCTGTATCTTCGTGTAGTTACCTGTTATCTTCCTGTAGTTACCTGTATCTTCCTGTAGTTACATGTATCTTCCTGTAGTTACATGTATCTTCTGTAGTTACCTGTATCTTCCTGTAGTTACATGTATCTTCCTGTAGTTACATGTATCTTCCTGTAGTTACATGTATCTTCCTGTAGTTACATGATCTTCCTGTAGTTACATGTATCTTCTGTAGTTACATGTATCTTCTGTAGTTACCTGTATCTTCCTGTAGTTACATGTATCTTCCTGTAGTTACATGTATCTTCCTGTAGTTACCTGTATCTTCCTGTAGTTACATGTATCTTCCTGTAGTTACCTGTATCCTCCTGTAGTTACCTGTATCTTCCTGTAGTTACCTGTTTCTTCCTGTAGTTACCTGTATCTTCCTGTAGTTACATGTATCTTCCTGTAGTTACCTGTATCTTCCTGTAGTTACATGTATCTTCCTGTAGTTACCTGTATCTTCCTGTAGTTACATGTATCTTCCTGTAGTTACATGTATCTTCCTGTAGTTACCTGTATCTTGTAGTTACCTGTATCTTCCTGTAGTTACCTGTATCTTCCTTTAGTTACGTGTATCTTCCTGTAGTTACCTGTATCTTCCTGTAGTTACCTGTATCTCCTGTAGTTACCTGTATCTTCTGTAGTTACCTGTATCTTCCTGTAGTTACATGAAATTCTTCCTGTAGTTACGTGTATCTTCCTGTAGTTACCTGTACGTCCTGTAGTTACTGTATCTTCCTGTAGTTACTTGTATCTTCCTGTAGTTACCATGTATCTTCCTGTAGTTACGTGTATCTTCCTGTAGTTACCTGTATCTTCCTGTAGTTACCTGTATCTTCCTGTAGTTACTGTATCTTGTAGTTACCTGTATCTTCCTGTAGTTACGTGTATCTTCCTGTAGTTACCTGATCTTCTGTAGTTACCTGTATCCTGTAGTTACCTGTATCTTCCTGTAGTTACGTGTATCTTCCTGTAGTTACCTGTATCTTCCTGTAGTTACCTGTATCTTCCTGTAGTTACCTGTATCTTCGTGTAGTTATCTGTATCTTCCTGTAGTTACATGAATCTTCCTGTAGTTACATGTATCTTCCTGTAGTTACGTGTATCTTCCTGTAGTTACCTGTATCTTCCTGTAGTTACATGTATCTTCCTGTAGTTACCTGTATCTTCCTGTAGTTACGTGTATCTTCCTGTAGTTACATGTATCTTCCTGTAGTTACCTGTATCTTCCTGTAGTTACGTGTATCTTCCTGTAGTTACCTGTATCTTCCTGTAGTTACGTGTATCTTCCTGTAGTTACCTGTATCTTCGTGTAGTTACCTGTATCTTCCTGTAGTTACCTGTTTCTTCCTGTAGTTACCTGTATCTTCCTGTAGTTACCTGTATCTTCCTGTAGTTACGTGTATCTTCCTGTAGTTACCTGTATCTTCCTGTAGTTACCTGTATCTTCCTGTAGTTACCTGTATCTTCGTGTAGTTACCTGTATCTTCCTGTAGTTACATGAATCTTCCTGTAGTTACGTGTATCTTCCTGTAGTTACCTGTATCTTCCTGTAGTTACATGTATCTTCCTGTAGTTCCATGTATCTTCCTGTAGTTACTTGTATCTTCCTGTAGTTACATGTATCTTCCTGTAGTTACCTGTATCTTCGTGTAGTTACCTGTATCTTCCTGTAGTTACCTGTATCTTCCTGTAGTTACGTGTATCTTCCTGTAGTTACCTGTATCTTCCTGTAGTTACCTGTATCTTCCTGTAGTTACCTGTATCTTCGTGTAGTTACCTGTATCTTCCTGTAGTTACATGAATCTTCCTGTAGTTACATGTATCTTCCTGTAGTTACCTGTATCTTCCTGTAGTTACATGTATCTTCCTGTAGTTACATGAATCTTCCTGTAGTTACGTGTATCTTCCTGTAGTTACCTGTATCTTCCTGTAGTTACCTGTATCTTCCTGTAGTTACTTGTATCTTCCTGTAGTTACATGTATCTTCCTGTAGTTACGTGTATCTTCCTGTAGTTACCTGTATCTTCCTGTAGTTACCTGTATCTTCCTGTAGTTAACTGTATCTTCGTGTAGTTACCTGTATCTTCCTGTAGTTACGTGTATCTTCCTGTAGTTACCTGTATCTTCGTGTAGTTACCTGTATCTTCCTGTAGTTACCTGTATCTTCCTGTAGTTACGTGTATCTTCCTGTAGTTACCTGTATCTTCCTGTAGTTACCTGTATCTTCCTGTAGTTACCTGTATCTTCGTGTAGTTATCTGTATCTTCCTGTAGTTACATGAATCTTCCTGTAGTTACATGTATCTTCCTGTAGTTACGTGTATCTTCCTGTAGTTACCTGTATCTTCCTGTAGTTACATGTATCTTCCTGTAGTTACCTGTATCTTCCTGTAGTTACGTGTATCTTCCTGTAGTTACATGTATCTTCCTGTAGTTACCTGTATCTTCCTGTAGTTACGTGTATCTTCCTGTAGTTACCTGTATCTTCCTGTAGTTACGTGTATCTTCCTGTAGTTACCTGTATCTTCGTGTAGTTACCTGTATCTTCCTGTAGTTACCTGTATCTTCCTGTAGTTACCTGTATCTTCCTGTAGTTACCTGTATCTTCCTGTAGTTACGTGTATCTTCCTGTAGTTACCTGTATCTTCCTGTAGTTACCTGTATCTTCCTGTAGTTACCTGTATCTTCGTGTAGTTACCTGTATCTTCCTGTAGTTACATGAATCTTCCTGTAGTTACGTGTATCTTCCTGTAGTTACCTGTATCTTCCTGTAGTTACCTGTATCTTCCTGTAGTTACTTGTATCTTCCTGTAGTTACATGTATCTTCCTGTAGTTACCTGTATCTTCGTGTAGTTACCTGTATCTTCCTGTAGTTACCTGTATCTTCCTGTAGTTACGTGTATCTTCCTGTAGTTACCTGTATCTTCCTGTAGTTACCTGTATCTTCCTGTAGTTACCTGTATCTTCGTGTAGTTACCTGTATCTTCCTGTAGTTACATGAATCTTCCTGTAGTTACATGTATCTTCCTGTAGTTACCTGTATCTTCCTGTAGTTACATGTATCTTCCTGTAGTTACCTGTATCTTCGTGTAGTTACATGTATCTTCCTGTAGTTACATGTATCTTCCTGTAGTTACCTGTATCTTCCTGTAGTTACCTGTATCTTCCTGTAGTTACCTGTATCTTCCTGTAGTTACTTGTATCTTCCTGTAGTTACATGTATCTTCCTGTAGTTACCTGTATCTTCCTGTAGTTACCTGTATCTTCCTGTAGTTACCTGTATCTTCCTGTAGTTACGTGTATCTTCCTGTAGTTACCTGTATCTTCCTGTAGTTACCTGTATCTTCCTGTAGTTACCTGTATCTTCCTGTATTTACATGAATCTTCCTGTAGTTACATGTATCTTCCTGTAGTTACCTGTATCTTCCTGTAGTTACATGTATCTTCCTGTAGTTACCTGTATCTTCATGTAGTTACATGTATCTTCCTGTAGTTACATGTATCTTCCTGTAGTTACGTGTATCTTCCTGTAGTTACCTATATCTTCCTGTAGTTACCTGTATCTTCCTGTAGTTACCTGTATCTTCCTGTAGTTACCTGTAGTTACATGAATCTTCCTGTAGTTACATGAATCTTCCTGTAGTTACCTGTATCTTCCTGTAGTTACCTGTATCTTCGTGTAGTTACATGTATCTTCCTGTAGTTACATGTATCTTCCTGTAGTTACATGTATCTTCCTGTAGTTACGTGTATCTTCCTGTAGTTACCTGTATCTTCCTGTAGTTACCTGTATCTTCCTGTAGTTACCTGTATCTTCCTGTAGTTACATGAATCTTCCTGTAGTTACCTGTATCTTCCTGTAGTTACATGAATCTTCCTGTAGTTACATGAATCTTCCTGTAGTTACCTGTATCTTCCTGTAGTTACCTGTATCTTCGTGTAGTTACATGTATCTTCCTGTAGTTACATGTATCTTCCTGTAGTTACATGTATCTTCCTGTAGTTACATGTATCTTCCTGTAGTTACCTGTATCTTCCTGTAGTTACCTGTATCTTCCTGTAGTTACCTGTATCTTCCTGTAGTTACCTGTATCTTCCTGTAGTTACCTGTATCTTCCTGTAGTTACATGAATCTTCCTGTAGTTACCTGTATCTTCCTGTAGTTACATGAATCTTCCTGTAGTTACATGTATCTTCCTGTAGTTACATGTATCTTCCTGTAGTTACCTGTATCTTCCTGTAGTTACATGAATCTTCCTGTAGTTACATGTATCTTCCTGTAGTTACATGTATCTTCCTGTAGTTACATGAATCTTCCTGTAGTTACCTGTATCTTCCTGTAGTTACCTGTATCTTCCTGTAGTTACATGTATCTTCCTGTAGTTACCTGTATTTCCTGACTCTGGCGTTTACCTGTATAAATCAGTCTGTTTTTCCTCTCTTTGACCTTTGACCCTGGAACATTCCTGCAGACCACTCCATGATCCCCAGCCGCTCCACCTCTGCTGTCAGCTGTTGGTTCCCTTGGCAACAACTGCTCCCAGCTGGACAGGTGCGTCGCTCCTCATACCTCACATATTTGGTCCGGGTCGAGTTTCTGAGCAGAGCGGCGGCCCAAGTTCTGCTACTGGAGCGCAGGCAGACTGGCGTCCTCTGCCGGTGGTTCTGCTACGGACGGCCCAGCAGAACCAGTAGAACCATAAATACCAGTAGAACAAAGCAGAGCCTTTAGGAAGCTGCTGGGTGGTTCTGATTGGTCCATGTAATCTGCATTAGCCAGCGTTTCGTCCCTCTGAGCCACCAGAGAGCTTGGCTCTTAGGCTGCTGGTTCGAGTCCCAGTGGAGAACTGGGAGAACTGGGAGGCCGATGAAGAGCAACCAGAGAGTCAGACCCAAATCCAGCCACACGGTTTGGCCTGCAGCTAATGATTGTTTCAGTTAATCTGACGATTAATTGGCAGAATAATTGATTAATCGCCAAATCGATAGCTCATTCTGATAATTAATTGGATAAAAAATTGGCACTCCTGTTTTTTCTTTCAGTTTATTTGATACAGTATTAGAACTACAGAATTCATTTTCTTTTTTTATACAAGAAAATAAACATTTAATGATGCAACATCACATTCCTTTGATTATTTGTAGCATCTGGAGCTAAAAAAAGTATTTTTAATATTATTATCTCAAAATCAATAGTGTAGAGTTGATCTGGTGATTAATATTTAGATTTTTTAAGTAATAATTGGTGCTTAATAAGAGATGATTTTACAGAAAATGACAACCCTGCCAGTGACAAGTTTTGAGTTGGATATATTTACCAATATTATTTTTTTCTCATTGTAAAATATTCATATATTTTTAGTTTTAGATAAATTACAGCTCTGTGTGTTGTGTCTTTATTATCTAGTTAACGATTAATCGATTACTAAACTAGTTGATGACTATCCCAATAATCAATTAGTCATAATTAACTGCTCTAGATATGTTTCAGAGAATGATGGGAAATATTGTCATTTTTTTGTCCTGTTTAACCAGCAGAACGTTGTATTCTTGCCCACAGAACCCAGACAGAACCGCGTTCGGGTCGGCCCAGATTCAGCTGACTTCATGCAGAAATAACCTGATTATGAGCTCCGTTCCAGCAGACTGGCCCTCAGATTCCTGATCCTGTAAGCAGCAGAAACTGACGGATCATTAATCAGATTCCTGCTCTGAGCCGAGATCCACCTGCAGAGCCAAAGTTCAGCGCTTTGTTCAGGTTCAGTATTTACTTAAAACTGGATCATGGAGGGTTTCAGAGCCGCCGGCTGGTTTTCATGGTAAACACACAGAGAATCTGGAGCAGCACTCACCTTCTTCCCATAAGAAGCTCCCATTATTCCCAGCAGGAGCGACGCTCCTTCTCTGATCCTTCCTGATCTGCAGCCAGACAGACGGAGCGCTGGGTTCGGTTAGCCCACCAGCGAGTCAGGCGGACCACTGAACTTCATCCCAACCGGCAGCAGAGCAGAGATCAGCCGGACTGAGCAAGGAGAGAGTGAGGAGGAGGAGCAGCCACCTGTTCCTGTCTGACTCTCAGCTGTGAGGAGTTAAAGTGGGATTACGGTAATCCCAGCAGACAGGAAGCCAGAGAGCAGAAGGTTCCTCATATCTCCTCCAACCAAGATGGAGCCGGGATTCTTCATCCCAGCAGGTCCGAGTTTCCCTTCATCCACGGCTCTGGGATATACTGGAGGAACTGGGAGGCCAACTGGTTTCATCCAATGAAGGAGACGGGACGCCTGGAGGACCGGAGAGGAAACATGGAGCTGCACTGCAAAACCTAAATCTGACCAAGGATTTCTGTCTCAGAAATTTTTCAACTTCAAAAATCTTATTGCCTTTTAAATCAGACAAAACTAACTTACAGAAAGTAAGTTTCACTTTGCTTGTTCTAATAATATTGATGAGAAAGTTGTAGTTCCTCTAGCAGATTATTTCAATGTTTTCAGCAATATTTTATCAATCCTAAAAACACACTAAAACTTTCCATGTATTTGGTCTTATTTCACATGTACTAAAATATCTGTACTAAAAACTAGACCATACATACTTGGTTAAATGTTGTGTTTTTGCAGTGTACCTGCTCAGACCTTCAGCACTGCAAAAACTCAAAATGTAACTTAAAAAATGAAGATCTCGTCCATCCATCCCTTTTCCCAGTGGGGTCTGGAGGAGCTGCTGCCGCTCAGGTATCGAGAGGCCAGCCTGTTGCAGGGCAATTATGGTCTAGTTTCTAAAGCAAAGAATTTTGTACACTTGAAATTGGACAAAAGAAAGTGACTGAGCAACTGTTTTCAGTTAATAATTCTTTGTTCCACCTGCAGATTGTTCAGCTGAAAACCTGGGAAATGTCTTGTAAGTGAAATAACACGCCCTTTTCATCAGTATTAAGGAATTATTGACACAAAACGAGCTAAATGGGTCTGAACTTTATCTCCACGGCAACAGCGGTTTGAATCAGAGGCGACCTGCAGACACCTGGAGCCTCTGCAGCCAATCACAGGGCAGCGGGATGAAATCACCTGGTGTCGCTCCAGGTCAACATGAAAAACAGCCATCAAGCTTTTTCCAGCTGGTGGAACCAGCTGCAGCGCAAGCACAAGGTGACAGTGGAGAAAAACAACTATTATACCTGGGAGAAGCTCCCAGCAGAACCAGAACCAGACTGGTTTCAGAACTTTGTTTTGTGTGTTTTGGCATTTCTCACCTTGTGAGTAAACTCTGCTGCTTCCTGGCCCAGGAATCAAATGCTGTTTGGGTTATGATCCGCTGCAGCGCATCATGTCCAAACTTTTCATTGCACCGAGTCAAACATTTTTATTTTACCTCCTCAAAACAAAATCCAGTACTTTAAACAAACGCAATAATCATATTTGTTGCTTGAAAAGGATAAATTATTGTAGATCCAAAACTTATTGCCTTGTTTAAACAACCGAAATGGAGTCTAGTCAATTCTGACCAGCAGAATCAGGATTTAGGTCACTCTTTCTTTGGAACTAGATTTGGGTGCAGCAACGTTCTCTTTTGAATGAAAGTCACAGCATGGACCAGGTCTGTGCAAGAGACTGTGAAAAGCCTGATTATTTAAAGACAAAAACCTTGTGTTGTAGCAAAATGTTTTATTGTATAATTAATTCAGTAAAAATGTTTGATCAAATTCGTATCATTGACCCACTACAGCCCCGGCGCCACACTTTGGACACCCTGGTTTAGGGTCGGGTTGTAAAAAAGAACGAAAATCGAACGGAAGTAAACGTGTTAATTTTGATTAATTAATTTAATGAATCACTTTAATTTTTTCGTGTACGGAAGTTCCAGCTGGAACCTTTGTGTTCATCCGTTTCTATATGTCTGTAAATTTGATGCACATCCACTAACAACCAGCATCGTCCCTCGGGGGTCATTTCTGCTTTTGACCCCTCATCCTACCCAGCTAATGCTAATGTTAGCGTCCTCACATTTCCAAAGAAGCTGCAGGAATGATCAGGGCTTCCAAAAACAAAATATCACCAAGTATTTCTGTAGATTAAACAAAAAAATAAGACAAAACAAACTTACAGTAACTTTTCAGCAAGATATCGATAAAAAAGGACTAATTCCAATTATAAATTATTTCACTCTATAAGTGAAATAATCATCCAGTAGAACAAGTTCTTTTTGTGAGATTTGAGTTTTTGCTCCAATCTGGTGGCTGAAGAACCAGAACAGAATAAAAAATATAAATATTTGATGCAGTTCATGTCTAGTTACGCAATAATTTAACAGCAAATGATTTTTTAATTGAAGATGATTAAATGTGACCATTAATTAGACCCTGAAAATAAATTGATCCAAAATTTTTGTCTTGTCCCACCATCAGTAGACAAACGCGCACGAATGTGTGTGTGTGTAAATGTGTGTGTGTGTAAATGTGTGTGTGTAAATGTGTGTGTAAATGTGTGTGTAAATGTGTGTGTAAATGTGTGTGTAAATGTGTGTGTGTAAATGTGTGTGTAAATGTGTGTGTGTGTGTAAATGTGTGTATGTGTGTGTAAATGTGTGTGTGTGTGTGTGTGTAAATGTGTGTGTGTGTGAATGTGTGTGTGTGTAAATGTGTGTGTGTAAATGTGTGTGTGTAAATGTGTGTGTAAATGTGTGTGTGTGTAAATGTGTGTGTGTAAATGTGTGTGTGTGTGAATGTGTGTGTGTAAATGTGTGTGTAAATGTGTGTGTGAATGTGTGTGTGAATGTGTGTGTAAATGTGTGTGTGTGTAAATGTGTGTGTGAATGTGTGTGTGTGTAAGTGTGTGTGTGTGTAAATGTGTGTGTGTGAATGTGTGTGTGTAAGTGTGTGTGTGTAAATGTGTGTGTGTGTAAATGTGTGTGTAAATGTGTGTGTAAGTGTGTGTGTGTAAATGTGTGTGTGTGTGTAGGTGTGTGTGTAAATGTGTGTAAATGTGTGTGTGTAAATGTGTGTGTGTGTGTAAGTGTGTGTGTGTGTAAATGTGTGTGAATGTGTGTGTGAATGTGTGTGTGTGTAAATGTGTGTGTGTGTGTAAGTGTGTGTGTGTAAATGTGTGTAAATGTGTGTGAATGTGTGTGTGAATGTGTGTAAATGTGTGTGTAAATGTGTGTGTGTGTGTAAGTGTGTGTGTGTAAATGTGTGTGAATGTGTGTGTAAATGTGTGTGTGTGTAAATGTGTGTGTGTGTGTAAGTGTGTGTGTGTAAATGTGTGTAAATGTGTGTGAATGTGTGTGTGTGTAAATGTGTGTGTGTAAATGTGTGTAAGTGTGTGTGTGTGTAAATGTGTGTGTGTGAATGTGTGTGAATGTGTGTGTGTGTGTAAATGTGTGTGAATGTGTGTGTAAATGTGTGTGTGAATGTGTGTGTGTAAGTGTGTGTGTGAATGTGTGTGTGTGTAAGTGTGTGTGTAAATGTGTGTGAATGTGTGTGTGAATGTGTGTGTGAATGTGTGTGTGTAAATGTGTATGTGTGAATGTGTATGTGTGAATGTGTGTGTGAATGTGTGTGTAAATGTGTGTGAATGTGTGTGTAAATGTGTGTGTAAATGTGTGTGTGAATGTGTGTAAATGTGTATGTGTAAATGTGTGTGTGAATGTGTGTAAATGTGTGTGTGAATGTGTGTAAATGTGTGTGTGAATGTGTGTGTAAATGTGTGTGAATGTGTGTGTAAATGTGTGTAAATGTGTGTGTGAATGTGTGTGTGAATGTGTGTGTAAATGTGTAAATGTGTGTGTGAATGTGTGTAAATGTGTGTGTGAATGTGTGTGTAAATGTGTGTAAATGTGTGTGTAAATGTGTGTAAATGTGTGTGTGAATGTGTGTAAATGTGTGTGTGAATGTGTGTGTAAATGTGTGTAAATGTGTGTGTGAATGTGTGTGTAAATGTGTGTGTGAATGTGTGTGTGAATGTGTGTGTAAATGTGTGTAAATGTGTGTGTGAATGTGTGTAAATGTGTGTGTGAATGTGTGTAAATGTGTGTGAATGTGTGTGTGTAAATGTGTGTGTGAATGTGTGTGTAAATGTGTGTAAACGTGTGTGTGAATGTGTGTAAATGTGTGTGTGAATGTGTGTGTAAATGTGTGTGTAAATGTGTGTGTAAATGTGTGTGTAAATGTGTGTGTGAATGTGTGTGTGAATGTGTGTGTAAATGTGTGTAAATGTGTGTGTGAATGTGTGTAAATGTGTGTGTGAATGTGTGTGTAAATGTGTGTAAATGTGTGTGTAAATGTGTGTAAATGTGTGTGTGAATGTGTGTGTGAATGTGTGTGTGAATGTGTGTGTAAATGTGTGTAAATGTGTGTGTGTAAATGTGTGTAAATGTGTGTGTGTAAATGTGTGTGTGTAAATGTGTGTGTGAATGTGTGTGTAAATGTGTGTGTAAATGTGTGTAAATGTGTGTAAATGTGTGTGTAAATGTGTGTGTGTAAATGTGTGTGTAAATGTGTGTGTGTAAATGTGTGTGTAAATGTGTGTGTAAATGTGTGTGTGAATGTGTGTGTAAATGTGTGTAAATGTGTGTGTGAATGTGTGTAAATGTGTGTGTAAATGTGTGTAAATGTGTGTAAATGTGTGTGTGTAAATGTGTGTAAATGTGTGTGTAAATGTGTGTGTAAATGTGTGTGTAAATGTGTGTGAATGTGTGTGTGTAAATGTGTGTGTGAATGTGTGTGAATGTGTGTAAATGTGTGTGTAAATGTGTGTAAATGTGTGTGTGTAAATGTGTGTGTGAATGTGTGTGAATGTGTGTAAATGTGTGTGTAAATGTGTGTGAATGTGTGTAAATGTGTGTGTAAATGTGTGTGTAAATGTGTGTAAATGTGTGTGTGTAAATGTGTGTGTGAATGTGTGTAAATGTGTGTGAATGTGTGTAAATGTGTGTGTGTAAATGTGTGTAAATGTGTGTGTGTAAATGTGTGTGTAAATGTGTGTAAATGTGTGTAAATGTGTGTGTGAATGTGTGTGTAAATGTGTGTGAATGTGTGTAAATGTGTGTGTGTAAATGTGTGTGTGAATGTGTGTGTAAATGTGTGTGTAAATGTGTGTGAATGTGTGTGTAAATGTGTGTAAATGTGTGTGTGAATGTGTGTGTAAATGTGTGTAAATGTGTGTGTGAATGTGTGTAAATGTGTGTGTAAATGTGTGTGTGTAAATGTGTGTAAATGTGTGTGTAAATGTGTGTGTGTAAATGTGTGTGTAAATGTGTGTAAATGTGTGTAAATGTGTGTGTAAATGTGTGTAAATGTGTGTGTGTAAATGTGTGTAAATGTGTGTGTGTAAATGTGTGTGTAAATGTGTGTGTGTAAATGTGTAAATGTGTGTGTGTAAATGTGTGTAAATGTGTGTAAATGTGTGTAAATGTGTGTGTGTAAATGTGTGTAAATGTGTGTAAATGTGTGTGTAAATGTGTGTGTAAATGTGTGTGTGTAAATGTGTGTAAATGTGTGTAAATGTGTGTGTAAATGTGTGTGTGTAAATGTGTGTGTGTAAATGTGTGTAAATGTGTGTAAATGTGTGTGTAAATGTGTGTGTAAATGTGTGTGTGTAAATGTGTGTAAATGTGTGTAAATGTGTGTAAATGTGTGTGTGTAAATGTGTGTAAATGTGTGTGTGTAAATGTGTGTGTAAATGTGTGTGTAAATGTGTGTGTAAATGTGTGTAAATGTGTGTAAATGTGTGTGTAAATGTGTGTGAATGTGTGTGAATGTGTGTGTAAATGTGTGTAAATGTGTGTGTGTAAATGTGTGTGTAAATGTGTGTAAATGTGTGTGTGAATGTGTGTAAATGTGTGTGTAAATGTGTGTGTAAATGTGTGTGTAAATGTGTGTGTAAATGTGTGTGTGTAAATGTGTGTGTGAATGTGTGTGTAAATGTGTGTGTAAATGTGTGTGAATGTGTGTGTGTAAATGTGTGTGAATGTGTGTAAATGTGTGTGTAAATGTGTGTGTGTAAATGTGTGTGTGAATGTGTGTAAATGTGTGTGTAAATGTGTGTGTGAATGTGTGTAAATGTGTGTGTAAATGTGTGTAAATGTGTGTGTGTAAATGTGTGTGTGAATGTGTGTAAATGTGTGTGAATGTGTGTAAATGTGTGTGTAAATGTGTGTGTAAATGTGTGTGAATGTGTGTAAATGTGTGTGTGAATGTGTGTAAATGTGTGTGTGTAAATGTGTGTAAATGTGTGTAAATGTGTGTGTGTAAATGTGTGTGTAAATGTGTGTAAATGTGTGTAAATGTGTGTGTGAATGTGTGTGTAAATGTGTGTGAATGTGTGTAAATGTGTGTGTGTAAATGTGTGTGTGAATGTGTGTGTAAATGTGTGTGTAAATGTGTGTAAATGTGTGTGTGTAAATGTGTGTGAATGTGTGTGTAAATGTGTGTGTGTGTGTGTGTGAATGTGTGTAAATGTGTGTGTAAATGTGTGTGTGTGTGTGTGTGTAAATCAACTCCAAACAGCTTCAGTTTTAAACCGTCTCTATTTACTTTATACATCAGAAATAAATATTCGCCTCATCAGCCTCCAGTCAGGACCAACATGGCTGCCGGTTGCCATGGAGACGGCAGGCGCCTACTCCCCGGGGTTGGGCGGTGCTTCGGCTTCCTCTGCGCTTGGACCCGACATCTGCATGAAGAGCTGGCGCAGCTCAGTGATGTCATCATCCAGCGGCGGCGCGGCGCGCTGCTCGCGCTCCTCGATGAAGTCCCAGAGCCGGACCCTGTTCATGAACTGGACACACAGAACCGGGTCAGAACCACAGGCAGCGCGGGGCCGGGGGGTCAGGGCGGGGCGGTACTGGGTTCTGACCCGGACGTTTCCCTCGGAGCTCAGCTGCTTCCGGGGCCGGTCCGGTTCCGGTCGGGTTCCGTCCGGGTAGGCGTGGAGGTACAGGCAGTTTCCCCCAAAGGGACAGGAGCCGCGGCCCTGGTCGAAGTATTTACAGGCCTTCTTACTGCAGACACAGAGGAGTCAGGCGCACACTCTGATTGGCCAACAGCCGGGGGGCGGGGCTTACACAGGAAGTTACCTCACGCCCGACTTGAAGAGCTCGATCAGCTGATCCTTCTCTTCCTGGTCCTCCACCCAATAGACAGATGGGATGACGAACTCCGAGATGATCCGACACTCCGGACAGGACCTGGAGGGAGAACCGGATCGGAACCGGTGACGGAGAACCAGATCAGACCGGGTCGGAACCCTCATCTCTTCCTATTTTCCCTGGTTCTTGTCTCCGGTACCAGAACCGGGCCAGACTCACTTGATGATCTTGTTGCAGAAGTTGCTGGTTCCACGCCACTGGCGGATGCAGCTGAGGCAGAAGGTGTGGCAGCAGGAGGACAGGATGCCGAACCGCCGCTCCGACGGCGCCGCCTTCTGGACCACCACCTCCATGCAGATGGAGCACACCTGCACAGGTACGGATGTCAGGACGCTGTCGTCACGGCAACCGGCACAGAGACGCGCCTCACCCACCTTGTTCTGGCTCAGCTGGGCGGCGAACGCCTTCTCCATGTCGGCCTCGAAGGCCAGCAAGCACACCTGGAGAGAGACTGGGTCAGGCACCGGGTCCGACCGGCACCGGGTCCGACCGGCACCGGGTCCCAGTGGGACCGGTGCCGGTCGGACCCGGGTCTCACCTTCTCGTGCGCGCTCCTCTGCTCCGGGTCGTGGGGGTGGAGAACTTGTAACCGACACACCTCACACAGGTCGCCATGGAGATACGGGCAGCTGTCGCCATAGAAACAGTGTCCCCTGGCGGCATATGGGCAAAGCTGATAGGCTCCGCCCACCGCGTGTGGCTCTGCAGGTAGAAGGACAGGTAAACAGGAAGTTGTCATCGGCCGATCGGATGGCTCCGTTCGGGACCCACCTGGTTCTGGAGCCGACCCGTCCAGCCCGGTTCTGATGGCTTCCACATAGGACTGCGGAGCGGCCGCCGCCTCCGGGACCGCCGGGGTCGGACCGTCTGTCAGGCCGCCAAAGGTCCGGTCGCCGCACAGTGCTGAGGAACGGGAAGGGCGGAGTCACACACCGAACAGCACACCTGGACTCACCTGTCCAACACCTGGACCCGACCCGCAAGCAAACCCACAGTACCAGCAGAACCCAGGAGTTACCAGATTATTGGGTTCTGGAGATCTGATTTGTGTTCAGGTTGATTTTTTTCCACCAATGGGCTCCTGGGTTTCCACTTTTCAGAGTGATGTCATCACCCAGGGCGGCCATCTTGTCTGACAGCTTCTGTCTATTTGGGTTCAGGTAAACTCTACAGTCAGGAGTTTAATTTTATTATAAACAAGAAAGCAGTCGTAATTTTAGGAGGATAATATCTTAATTTTATGCAAACACAAAAAGTTTACAATTAAAATGATGAATGTTGAGCATCTTATGAAGTTAATCTTTGGTATCAGTTTTACAGATTAAACTTAATAAACACGTCAGCATCAGATTATTGTCAGTAGCTGAACTTTGAGTCGATCGGTCAAACTGACTATTTCAGAGAATGATGAACTCAGAAGATCTTCTCTAAAGAAACTTTTTTCTCATTAAATCAACTTATTTCTTGTAATTTTATGACATTTGTTCTGGTGAAAATGTGTCTTTTCTGACGCTGATGGAATGATTGAAATAAAATCCACTTTTCAAAATTATTTTCTGTCATTTGACATTTCTTTTTTGGAAAAGAAAGTGAGAAAAAAATAAATTAAAATTCGGTCAGGTATGAAAAAATCAATTTTTACCTGCAGCAGCTCAGGTGAGTCCTTACCTCTGTCCTTCAGGACCAAAGGCTTCTTCCCTTCACCTCTGACCCTCTGCCTGCACCTGCTGGGTCCGCTGAAGCTCCGCCGCCTGCTCCTCATTGAATGTTTCACATGATCATACCTGGACACACAGCACACCTGTCATGTACCTGGAAGGTTAGACAGGTCAGCTGTCAGGGGCAGGTGCGGCTCACCTGCAGCGCTCCCCGTAGGCGCAGGTTCCCCTCTGGTAGTACTTGCAGATGGTGGAGGGTTTGCTGTTGTTCAGGTCATGAGAGAACAGGCAGTTGCTGCCCTCCCTGCAGACTCCATGGAGGAAATACCTGCAATACACCTGGACACGTGACTCACCTGGCAGTCACCTGTTCAGTCCACTCAGGTTCGTTCAGAGCTTTGCTAGAGTGGGTCATTTAAAACGGCAGTATGTGGCTTTTATAAAACATTTTTTACACATTTGTTTCAACCATGTTGTGGCAGGAGACACAATCTGTAAAACAAAATGAGTTCCTCTGCTTCCTCCCAGTAGCAGTCTGTGGTACAGTAAGTCTGAAAGAGCCTCTGACTGAAGATACTCTGCGTTTGCAAGAGTCTCATGAAGACAATGGTCACTTTCTTGATTTTATGAAGAATAATATCCCCAACTTGCTGTGCTGCAGCTAGCATATGAATGCTCAAGCTAGTAGCCTTTCCTGTGACTGTAAATCGTTTCTGCACCATCGGAACATTTAGCAACAGGTACATGAGGTGATTGACTGCACTAAGTCCCTCCTCTTGGCTCTGATTGGTTGTTTTGGGTTGGTAGCTCAGTAGCTTTAGCCTGCTGGATAGTCCAGAACCAGAACTTTCTCTGACAAACCTAACATCTCCGATCCGGAGTTCTGGAGAATTTAACCGGTTCCGATATGATTTAATTGGACAGCAGAGGTTCGGACGGAACTCGACCTTTTGCAGTCGTTCTAACTGGACCGAAGCGGGTAGGTAGAGCAACCGGATCGGAACCAGACGCAAGCAGCGATGTTCTGCCCGAAACGACAGTTTCCATGGTAACGGCAGGACTCGAGCAGCTCACTGATCAATCGGCTGATCAGGTGAATAGCTGCGCATGCTCACACAGGTAAGCATACCCAGCGGCGGAGCTAGAGGCTAAAAACATTAGCTTTACGGCAGCGCGTGCGCAGTGACGGTCCTGAGCCGGTGGGACAGGCAGCTGAGGGACGGAGACACAGCAAAGAGCGCGCGCTCACCTGCAGGTCACCTGTCTGGTGCTCATCTTCTTCGTCGTGGTCTGCGTTCAGCTGCCGGAAGTGTGCTGCTGGTGCTCCGCTCTAAGAGCTCCGGCTGTGAGCAGCAGAAGGAGGAACGTTCCTGCAGCTGCGGAAAACAGCGCCATCCTGCGAAGGTTCTGGCCCGGTTCTGATCCCTTGGACTCATGTTATTCTGCTGTGATTTTAACGACCCAAAGAGGAGCTCTTTGGTTCTAGTCTGACCCAGTGTGGATTACTAGTCCTGGTTCTGTCTCAGCAGCCCAGGGAGGTTCGGTTTCGGGTTGAATGTTTTGTGCTCTCACCTGGCGGACTTTCACCTGTTGAGGTTTAGGATTACTGATTTGTATTCCTGGAGGTTCTGGTTCCGGCTCTGGTTTGTGTTTCAGGTCAGAGGCTGTTAATTCTGTTCCAGGCTCTAGTTGTACTACCTCCATGCAGAAAAGCCCCAGGCTCTATACTCCCTCCTGAGGCACCATGGAGGAACCTCCAAGGTTCCTCAAATTCAAGTACACCAGGGACCCTCATGAACACCTGATGAACCCCCTGACAAATCCCCCCAAAGTCCCTGAGGAACCGCTGGGTTCATCAAGGTTCATCAAGGTTCATCAGCCACCTGACAAACCAAACCCTTCAGGAACTCACTAGTCTTTCCTGTTCCTGGACTTCCAGGAGATTTACCTGAAGATCTGAGCCTCCTGTGAATCGGATCTCTGGAATTGGGCTCAGGGTATTTCCTGGAGCCAGCTCAGGTTGGCCAGTTCACCTACAGACAGGATAATTTCACCTGCTCCTTTGAGATGACGAATGGCTGAAGAGGAAAGTGTGACATTTGACCCAGGTCTGTGTCACTCACCTGAGCTCACTGATCAGATCACCGTCTGACAGGTGAGATGGAAAACATTCAGTGAGCCAATCAGGAGGCAGCTCCTGGAAGCTTCCTGTTTCAGGTTTCAAGTCAGAATGTTTCTGCTGGTTTGGGTCAGAACCAGAACACCCGACCAGTCTTCAGACATCGGACTGGAAAGCTGAACATGTCCTGCTCTGCCCATGTTTCCATGGCACCAATGCAGACACAGTCCAGAGGTCACCTGCTCAGACTGACTCACCTCCAGGTGAAAACAGGTCACATGACCACCTGCCTGACACCAGAACACCTGATTGGCTGGAGCCAGGCTCTGTGATGTCGTCTGATAGGCTGTAACCAGGCAACAGGAGGAGGTGGGGAGAAGAGGGTAAAGAGAGGAGGAAGAAGAGGAAGAGGAGTGGGACAGACTGCCGAGCAGCTGAGGAGGAGATGGAGCAAAGCGTCATCCACCTGAGCCACTGCCAGAAGGAGATCTTCTGCTTCTCGGTGCCTGAGGTGTGTCCGAGCTGCGGGGAGGAGCTGAAGGGCCGCAGATTGCAGGAGGCGCCGGTGAGCCTGCCGTCCCCCTTCACCGACGGACACAAGACCTCCTGCTGCCTGCTGGTTGCTCCTGCGCACAACAACCAGGACAGGTAACGGCACAGCTGCACAGGTGCACCCAGGTTAGTGTGCGGAAAACATTCAGCCAACAGCTGTGAGAACCCAGTAGAACCAGGATCATCTGGATTGGTGGGTGATGAGGTTTTCTGTTAGTGCTGGTCTGGAACAGAGCTCTTACCTGGAAACCTTACATCCTGCAGTATCAGCTACCTGCAGGTGACTGGTTTCCAGGTCAGGAAACCAGTTTGGAGTACCACACCAGTCTGACCAGGGGTGTCCTCCTCTGTCCCTTAGAGACTTTACTGGGACATCAGACCTGCACACTGGCATCTCCAACACTAAAGGTATGAGCCAGGTGAGGACACAAGTCCTCACCTGGACCGGTGTCCAGGTGAGGAGGTCTACAGGTCACCCGGATGATGTCACCGCTCTGTCTCACCTGACTCTGTCTCACCTGTATATTTATCCAGGTGTTGTTTATAATACACTCAGGAAGGTGTGCGGCGAGATCAGAGTGGGTGGAGCCGCTGTATCAGCATCCCCCTGGTCCGACCCGACATGTTCCACCTGCTGGCTCAGTGGGACCAGTACCTGGAGACGTTCTCTGAGGGACCCGCATGGGACCCAGTGTGGCAGAAGTAGGTTCCACACAAAGCCCCTGTCTCACTACCTGTCCTCTCTGACTCACCTGTCGGTCTCTCAGGTTCCATGAGGAAGACCACAACTTCAGCTTCTGCCTCCAGTTCCTGAACGGCATCCTGGCCATGGAGGGTCGCGGCGCTCTGAGCCGGGACGACTTCACCGCTGCTTCATCCTGCCGAGGATGAGGAGGGTGTCAAAGTACACCACGCTGATCCGGCACCTGCAGGAACACCAGTACTACCTGGCAGACAGACAGGAGACACTGGGAGACAGGCAGGAAGAGTCGGACACCACCAGTTAAACCAGTCTAACCACAGTTAAACCAATCACACTACCAGTTAAACCCAGTATTGTTGAAGCTACAACAGTTGAAACAGCAGCTCTAGTTAAATCAGTGGAACCAGTTGGTCCGTTTTGGAGTGACATGAATGTTTATTTATTGTTTGTAAATAAAGGTGAATATTTTCATAAACATAATGGAGCTTCAGATCTCTGTGTTTTGGATGAAGCATCTAATGTTGGAAATTCCACCAATCGGGAAGAGGCTGAGGTTAAAGGAGGAGTTGGTTCCAGGACTGGTTCTGATCTTGGTACGACACCAGTCTGACCAGCGGTCCTCCTCTGTCCCTTAGAGACTTTACTGGGACATCAGACCTGCAAACGGGCTATTTGGTACTGTTAAAAAAGTACTAAATAGCCCGTTTGCATTGCAGAGCAGGATTCTTGTGGCTCGGTCCGGGCCGGTCTGCAGGGTCTGTGTCGGTACCGTCAGACTCAGATGTAATGCTTCATCTTTTTCTTCGGTAAAGTCCAAAAGGTTCTGATTACATGTGAAATTTTTTTTTAGATTTTATCATTTTGAGCTTCATTTTTTTTTCTTCTTTACAAACTGGGTTTGTGGATTGTAGAAGAAGTGTTGTTCTTCATGACAATTACAGATCATTGAGCTGAGCTTTATTGATTTCTGCTAAATAAGGACGAAGGGAAACCGTTTCGGGTTCCATCCTGGGGAACAGAACCGAAACCATAACCACCCCAAACCCTGGATGCAGAAGCAGCTGGAGGAAAAGTTCCGATTAACGTTCTTGAGAGGTGTGTTATGCGAATCATCCAGCAGATGGCGATAGAGCAATTATTTGGACGCATTCAAACCGCAAAGAAGAAGTTCCGAATGGAGTTTCCAGCCGGACACAGTTTCTGTGGCACCGCCTCAGCTCCCATGAACGAATCACGGCATTTAAACTTGAGATTGGACCCAACTCTGGCCCTCTGGAACCGGCGGAATGCAGGCGGAGTTCCGGCCTCCTCGGAGGAGAACCCGGGTTTATGAGGACTACGAGGCTCCGCTGCCGCTAATCCGGAACCGGCAGGACAGGAAGCATTACCGGGGGCAGCTGGTCCACCAGCAGGTTCTGGTCTGCCATCCGGACCACATCCAGAGCATCCACAGCCAGGTCAGAACCAGATCCAGGTTCAGAAAAACAAGTATGAACCACCAGATGCGGGTCCAGAACCAGGTTCTGGTCCAGTAGAGCCAGGTCCAGACATGCTCAGGTGTTCCTACTGTGTAGCTTCAGGTGGTTTTATCGCCTCTCAGGCTAAATGTGTTTTGTCCTGTCAGGGTTACTTTGGGAAAGGGGTTCTGTCCAGAGCCCGACCGGAACACAGCATTTCCGACCAATGGGAGCGTGAGTTTCCACCCGCACAATGACATCATCTTCAGCCATCCAATCCGTGCTGACCTCTGTTTTTGTCACAGAACACAAAGGTGTGCTTCTACCTGTCATCTCTCAGTCCAGGTACGTAACATCACGTCCTGTCTGCTTGCACTGTGACGTCCCGTCCCGTCTGTGGTGACAGTGTCACATGTCTGACTCTCACAGGTATGAAGAGCTGCTCAGGTGGGCAGAGGCAGAGCTTTCTTCTCAGCGATTGGATAAAGAGGTGGCCAATCAGACGTTGCTGGCTCTGACTGAGACTGTGGAGGGGGAAGTGGAGGCAAATGGAGCAGAAGAAGAGCCAGGGGGCGGAGCCTGTGTCCAAATGAAGAGGCCAGGGGCGGAGTCAGAACCAGAGGAGAGAAACTGCAGGTGGAGTTCAGCACCCAGAGAGACCAGTTCTGAGAAAGAACCAGACTGAACTTGTTTCCTGTCAACCGTTCAGGTCCGACTCACAGAACCTGGACCTGGACTCAGAACCGGACTCTGACTCTGATCCCGGTTCTGGTGTCCGTGTTCCAGGTCCCGGTTACGTCTTGGTGGCCCTGGAGGCTCAGGTGAGTCCTCACCTGGTTTGGTGGCTGCTGCTGGTGTTCTCTGCTGCTGCAGTTTATTTGTTGTTGTTTCCATGGTTACAGGGTGGAGGCGGAGCCAGGGAGGTGAGGCGGAGTCCTCTGGCTCTTACAGAGTACCTGCAGCTGAGCCTGGAGGAGGTAACACAACTCTACGCAGGCAGTGAGACTGATCTACTCATGTATTTCTATGTGAAGAAATAATTCGATTTTGTGCATTTAAGTCTGACCAAACATTGACCACTCTCACTCAGCCTACACTTGGCTCAAACCAACCAAACCAGCAGCCAATCTCAGACCAGTCTTTTTTTATCCAATCAGTTTATTCCCAGGAATTACTGAAAAACAATCAATTAGTCCACCAAACGGCCAAAATGTCACGCTCACCTGTTTGACCTGCAGGCCTTCTTCCTGGTCTACAGCCTCGGCGTTCTGTCTGTCTACCAGCAGCAGGTCAGGCTTTCATTTGGACCTCTGATGCGTTTTTATCTGGATGTGACCTCATCATCTCTGTCCTGTCCTCTGATTGGTCAGGAGCCCCTGTCAGTTGTGGAGCTGTGGAGGAAGTTTCGGTTGCTGCGTCCCAACTTCGTCAGCTCATACGCTGCTTACCATCACTTCCGCAGCAGGGGGTGGGTCCCTAAGGGAGGAGGCGGGGCCAAGTACGGCGTTGATCTCAGTAAGGCCCTGTGACCTGTCAGTCAGAGTGCAGGGAAAAGCTGGAGCTGTTCCAGGCCCTTTATCAGAACCAGGACACGTTCTGCTAGTCTGTGGACTTATCAGGTGTGTTTTCTCCTCTGGGTCTGGTTACAGTGCTCTACAGGAAGGGACCACCTTTCTACCACGCCAGGTAATGCTCACCTGTTCTGGTCTCCAGGTGTTTGCTCCATGTTCAGGAGAAGGTCAGACATGTTGTCTCTCCCAGAGACGCCTCGTTCCGCTCTAGGTTGGGAGCTCCTGCTGGATCATCCCGACTCTAGTTACTGAAAACGATTAGAAATGCTCTACAAGAGCCTCACAGATTGTCCCTGACCTCTTGCCGTAGCTACTCGGTGGTGGTGGAGAGGACTGGCGCATCGTTGGGGGGGGGCGGCGCTGCGCCCGTTTTCCTGGCGCTCTCTGGCGGCTCTCAGCAGAATCACAGCCAGCGTCTCCAAGGTAACTGCTCCACCTGTCGCTGCTACCTGCTGCTGCTGTTGATCTTTCTTGATGGTAGGTCCTGATTGGTTCCCAGGAGCTGATGCTGTGTTACATCATCTACCCAACTGACCTATCAGAGGATGACCTGGACTCACCTGTGTGCCTGAGTAGATTAAAGGTTCAGGTAAAGGTCAACTAACTGTTACCATAGTAACTGCCTGTGTTTTGCGTTTTTTTCAAAAAATAAATATTTGATTACATTAAATAAAACATTCTAAACACAAATAATGGTGAAAAAATTAAAGAAATATAGCTCAATACTGATGGATAGCTCAATACATAAGAGGGCGGGGTTCAAACCCAGTCTGGGTCCTTAGGCAAGACCCTTCCAGCTACTGCATACATCATACCATGAAAGCGTACATGGAGCGACATAACCAAGTGGCAGGCATAGTGTACAGAAACATCTGTGCAGAATATGGACTGGAAACCCCGAGATCAAAGTGGGAAACACCCCCAAAGGTGGTGGAGAACGCCAGAGCTAAGATCCTGTGGGACTTCCAGATCCAGACAGACAGAATGGTAATGGCGAACCAACCAGACATTGTCGTAGTGGATAAACATCAGAGGAAAGCCGTTGTGGTAGATGTAGCAATACCAAGTGATTGCAACATCAGGAAAAAGGAGCACGAGAAACTGGAGAAATACCAGGGCCTCAGGGAAGAACTGGAGAGGGCCTGGAAGGTGAAGACCACAGTGGTGCCTGTGGTCATCGGGGCCCTCGGGGCAGTAACCCCCAAACTGGAGCAGTGGCTACAACAGATCCCAGGAACAACATCAGACATCTCAGTCCAGAAATGTGCAGCAGTCCTTGGCACAGCCAAGATACTGCAGAACCCTCAAGCTCCCAGGCCTCTGGTAGAGGACCCGAGCTCAGAGGATATATAGATCTATATCTATAGACCTATATCTATAGATATAGATCTATATCTATAGATATAGATCTATATCTATAGATCTATATAGATCTATATCTATAGATATATCTATATCTATAGATATAGATCTATAGATATAGATCTATAGATATATATCCTCTGGTAGAGGACCCGAGTTCAGAGGATATATAGATCTATATATATAGATCTATAGATATAGATCTATATCTATATATCCTCTGGTAGAGGACCCGAGTTCAGAGGATATATAGATCTATATATAGATCTATAGATATAGATCTATATCTATAAATATAGATCTATATCTATAGATATAGATCTATATAGATCTATATCTATAGATATAGATCTATAGATATAGATCTATAGATCTATATCTATAGATATAGATCTATAGATATAGATCTATAGATATAGATCTATATCTATATATCCTCTGGTAGAGGACCCGAGTTCAGAGGATATATAGATCTATAGATATAGATCTATAGATATAGATCTATATCTATATATCCTCTGGTAGAGGACCCGAGTTCAGAGGATATATAGATCTATATATATAGATGTATAGATATAGATCTATATCTATAAATATAGATCTATATCTATAGATATAGATCTATAGATATAGATCTATATAGATCTATATCTATAGATATAGATCTATAGATATAGATCTATAGATATAGATCTATATATATCCTCTGGTAGAGGACCCGAGTTCAGAGGATATATAGATCTATAGATATAGATCTATAGATATAGATCTATATCTATATATCCTCTGGTAGAGGCTCAGAGGATAAGAACCACCGCGGTGGTGAGAAGGGAGTTTTAACAACAGATATTAATGATGTTACTCAAAGGTCTTCCAATCTACAAGTAGAATAAAAAGGTTGATTAAATTTATACACAAATAGGTAAAGATAAAATAATGTATTTTTTATTCTATACAAACAATATAAGAAATGTGCAAAAATGCATCCAAGTACATGTAAAAAGGATCTGTAGCAAACAAAGAGAAAATAGAAAAGGCTTCTGCTTACAGGATAAAGTTCAATTTCTTTTGAAGGGTTTTTGTTTTTCTAAGTTGCTAATGATTTAAATGACATTTTTCAATAGAGATGATATAAATTTTAAGTTGTTTCCTTTAAAATTATTGTGTGAGGGCATTTTTTAAATCCATATTGTGGACATAATATAATTAATAGAAAAATAATTAAATTGACTTAATTCAACCTTTTTAATGAGCAATATTCTTCAGCATGTCCCAATGTATTTATGCTGCCTGTGTTAACACCAGGAGCTATCAGGAGCTAGTGGTCAGAACCAGAACCATAGGACTGTGGTTCTGATCCCAGGTTGATGTCGGACACATGAAACTAATGGAGCTGGTAATGTGTCTACAGGAAGTGATCGTCAGCAGATGGGTTTCCTCCAGAGAGCGAGCAGAGCAGGACGACATCTGATTGGCTGACAGCCGAAGCAGTTTCGTGATGATCTCATGAAGAGCCGAGCGGCGGCCAATCAGAAAGAAGACCAGCTTCACGCGGGTCTCTGATTGGACTTGAAAGGCGGAAAAAAAAAGATGTTCTTCATTGTCATGTTTGTACTTGACTCCGCCTCCTGGCGATGACGTCAGGAGGCCTCCTGCTCTGGCTGCAGATGCTCCTGTTTGGTCTTCAGGTCCATGTCCAGATGTCTGTTCCCACAGAACCAGTTCAGGAACCGCTGGGAGGAAATCCGTGTGTGTTTACCCTGTTACCATGGCTCCGGCTGTTTTTCTGTAGGATGGGTGTCAAAGGCTGAAGTTCATTAAACAGATGTTCAACATGTTACCTCCATGAAAGCAGTTGGACTTCAGTGTGTGTCTTTGTGTCCTGTTTGTTGCTCTTAGTGCACAAGTTGTCCGTTCAGAACCGAATAGGAACGCAGATTCGGTTCTGCACGGACAGAACCGAATCTGCATCTGTTGTTGTTGTTTAAGTTAAAATTTATGTCCGAGTTATTGATCAGTTTCATACCTACTTAGAGGTATATTTAGCTGATATCAAGAACTGAATTCAAATATTAAGTTGTGTTTTGATCTCGTATTATAGAAGTCTCGCGATAACTCTTGGGGTTGCCATTTAAAGCAGCGCCAGCAGCGAGGCGCGAAGCCCGGACACAGGATCCGTTATCCGGACAGAGGACACACGTTCAGCCGCTCACATCCCATCGAGCTGCTCTATACCCAGGTAAATATACAACCTGCTGCCGCGGAGAGCCTTCCTCTGGCCGGCCATCCGCTTGGAGCGGTCTACCTCGGTGTTATTTGGCTGCTAGCTGTTGCTAGCTGCTGCTAGCTTTGGAGCTCCGCAGCTTCCGATCCGCCTGAGCATGCGCACAGCCCGGAGCCACCAGCACCGCAGCCCGCGGCTGTTAACGGCTATCCGGTAGCTGTTAGCAGCTAGCTGTTAGCGGAGCCAGATCAAAGTCCCCGAGTTCTGATCCAGTCGAAATCCTTCAAAAAATGAGACCCTTTGGCTGCCCGATCCGAACCATCAGGATCCAGACCCAAAGTGCTGATAACTGTTCTAGAAGAGTCGGGACCAGTGACCACTCAAAGGTTATGGTGGTTCTTCCAGTCTGGTGCGGATCCAGTTCATGAGTGTGTTAGTGAACGTAAAACCACGTAACAGGAGGTTCTGAATGGATCCAGCACGGCAGACGGATCCACCATCACAAAACAACGAACTCTGATCAGAACCAGACTTCCCAGAAAACCCAGTTCGGATCCTCAGAGTTCAGCAGAGACCGGTGCTTACCTGCCTTACCTTACCTCCCGGTCATTATCATATCTGACGTCTTCTGCTCTTGGTTCGGTTAGTTTGGATTCGTCCACAAATCAGAATCAAGCCTCAACTCAGTGGCAGCATGTAAACACAGCAGGACCTGCTTGGTTCTGGTTCTGTTCATAAATCCAGACCAGGTTGATGATTCAGCTGCAGACGCATCACCTGAACTCTCCCACCTGTAGATCCACAGTCACTGACCTGTGTGTGTGTGTGTCCACAGCATGATGGCGGACGACCTGGACATCGAGGCGATGCTAGAGGCTCCATTCAGGAAGGTGAGACTCACCTGAACTCCTGTCTGGTTAGCTCGGGCTCCCCAGGTGTAGAGCCAGGTTCTGGTTCTGCAGAATGTTCATGTGCTATTAACGATTTGTGTGTATCTGCCAGGAGGACGGGAAGAACCAGAGCCCTGAAGGACAGGAGGAGCGCAGCAAGAGGTAACCTGCTCACCGGGAATGATTAACAGTCAGTGGTGGAGCTAGACTTTTAAACTTGGGGGGCCAGGGCCATCTCGAGGGGGGCAAAAATGAGAATATGTGTGCATGTATAAACATCTATATGTAGATCTATCTATCTTTTCTATATGCATGAATGCACATGTGTATGTAATCAAAGGTTGCGTTAACAGAGTATTTTCCGTATTGACTGGTTATTTTTTTAAACGATCGGGAAATGTAAAGCCCTGGACTGGTGCACATGGCCTGGGGGAGAAGGGAGCGAAACAATGCAAAAAAAAAAAATCCTTGTAGAAGTGCAGGCCCGGACTGCGCATAGGGTAAAAAACTTGCAGAGTTCAATTGATCGGTTTGGATCAGACAGATCCACTGATCGATGGTCCAGCGCAGATTTCTCTCCAGATGTGACCAGGAGCGTTCAGCCCGCAGCAGGTGGAACCATTTAGTTTCATTTACTATAAGTCTTTGGAGCCTCAGTCAGTGGTTTGTGTCACTAAAAGTTAGACACATTTATCTAGGGGGGCCAGTGCCCTCTGTTCCCCCCTCTGACTCCGCCGCTGACATACATACATACCGAAGGAACTGCAGCGCTTTTGATTGTTTTGATTTTTTTCTCTTTTATTGAAAAATACCCGTATAACAAGGGACACATCAGTAACAGGAGAAAACATTTGATATGGACAACTGAGCAGAAAACAAGATCTACTTAAGAAAAACACAGGAAGTACAAAGGGGAACATTTCTGCAAATAAAAAACAAAACAACAGTGAGTACAAATTGCTTCAAAGCTGAAGTCTTCCAGACCACTAGGGGGAGTGTGGAGTCTGTAATATTAGATAAATAAATATATTTTATAATATTGTAAAATATGACACAAGTTTTCTTTCTTCCTCCATCGTTTTATGGGTTTTACTGAGGCTTTGGCCCAGGTGGGGTTTGTGATCCACTTCCCCTAGTGGATCACAAACCCAGGACTTCTGTTGAGTGGAGTTTACAACATTTTATACTTGGTGTTTTTACTTCAATTGCAGTATTTCCTGCCTGTTTCCATTTCCTGCAGTTCCAGCATTTTTTATTTGCATTTGGGGGGTTTTGTGTTTAGGAGTTTGTGTGGTTCCTGCGTTTGCAGCTTTTGCTGTTTGTTGAGCAGTAACTTTGATGCAGTCAGAACCGTACAGTTCACTAATGGAGTGATGCCATAATTTACCTTGATCTGATTGGCTGCCGCCGGTTCAACAGGAAGAAGCGCAGCCGCAGCAGAGACAGGAAGCGCAGCCGCAGTCGGGACAAGAAGAGGAGCCGCAGCCGCGAACGTAAAGGCAGCCGCAGCCGCGACCGACGCAGGAGCCGCAGCCGAGAGCGCAGGCGCAGCCGCAGCCGAGAGCGGGGGGGCCGCTACAAAGACCACCACAAGCAGTAAGTCCTGTTTCTGTTTCCTTCAGTGATGTCACTTCCTGGTTTGTTTCATCAGCGGTTGCTGGAGGAGAACCTTCAGGTTGTGCATCTGGTTCCCAAAACCTGATCTGGGGTTCTGGAGGTTTCAGAACCCGATCGGTTCTGATGACTCACTGACTGTGTTTCAGCCGCAGACGGTCGAGGAGCAAGAGTCCAATCAGGAAGGAGAAAAGCCCGCCCAGGTGAGTCTGATGGCATATCCTGGTCCTTTGGACCTTCATACCAGAATCAATCGATTAATTGATCAATCGATCATCAAAGGATAATTCCTTTTGTTTTCATTAATTGTGGATATTTAAAATGTCTTCAGGCTCCAGTGATAAATGTTAGTTCAAAATAACATTAATTGTTCTTTGACAGGATGAACTTGCATAACTATTATATTTCTAATATCATTTTAGGTTCTGTCACAGTTTCCAATTTATCTGGATGGTAAATTGCCCCAGTAATTATTGTGATAATATTGTTTTGTGACCCTTTAAGGAATCACTCATCATAATATGATTTTATTTTTAACATTTCTATACTGAAGTGTAAAAGGAAAAAACTGAGTAAACTGGTACAGAAATGGACAAACACAAGAAGATTCAACAAACTTTTTATATCTTCACTTTTATGCACAGCAGAATCTTTCCTGCATTTTATTCTAAATCATACAAACTCGAAGAAGAAAATAATCATAATCAGACCTTTTTTGGATTTGTTTAGTGAATAATTTTTATGCATTTTTTGATTTAAAGAGTGAAAAATCCCATTCAAATACCAATAAACTTTAATTTTGTAAATAACACTTAAATCTGCAACTGGGAGATATTTTTAATGTCCAAAATGAAAAAAACATCAATAAAACAAATGAATAACGTCCTTGTAAGCAAAATCACTCATAAAGCATGTCAAACATCAGAACATAAATTGAGCTAATTTTAGTTTATCATGTGATTGGTTGATTGATTGATTGATTATTGGTCAGGATGTGTTTGCTAACCGTCCTGTTGTCCTCAGGCTGCCACTGGACAACTTGACCCCGGAGGAACGGGACGCCCGCACCGTGTTCTGCATGCAGCTGGCGGCCCGGATTCGACCCCGTGACCTGGAGGAGTTCTTCTCTGCTGTAGGGAAGGTGGGGTCACCTGACCAGGAAACGCATCACGAGGTTCTGCTGGCGCCGGACGGGTTCAGCGGCGCACCGAGCCTCACGGGGTTTCGATCACAGCGGGACCAAAAATCAATAGAATCACAATAGTTCGAACCGCACAGCATTCTGGGAAATGTCGGCAGAGGAAAGACGTTAGCTGCTCAGCTGATATGCTAATCAAAGCTAAATCAATGGTACCAATCGCTCGCTTTGTTGTTACCTAGCAACAACCTGCAGGTAACCCGCTGTTACCAGGTAACCCGCTGTTACCAGGTAACCCGCTGTTACCAGGTAACCCGCAGCAGTTTCCAGTTTCTCCTCTGCGCCTCATAACTGCAGGAAAATGTAAAAACTGCGTGAAAAGCGGATGAAGCAGAAACAGGTTTCTGTGTTTCACATATTTAAATCAAAAATCTGATCAATTATCATCATTTTCCACCAGGCCTGTCAAAATCACACATTTTCTTGAAAGATAAATTGTTCCAGAAGTTTTTGCAATAAACAATGATCGTTTAATATTGAGACTATTTCCAAGTAATATAATAATAGTGGGATAATACAAGAACTCATTCTCAGAGATCAATAAGCTTTAAAGTCTAATGAACATTAACATTTTGGTTTGATTTAATTTATCATTTGATTTATAGAATGATATGAAATGTTAAAATGTCATCCAGCTTCCATCTGAGCTTTAGATTCAGAACCCTAACTTTTGTTTCTCTGGTGACCTTTGACCCCGCTGTGTTAGCCGGGTTCACATGAGAGTAACGCCTGCCTACTTCCCACCCCTCAGGTTCGGGATGTGAGGATGATCTCTGACAGGAACTCACGGAGGTCAAAGGGCATCGCCTACATTGAGTTTGTGGAGGCCAGCTCTGTTCCTCTGGCCATCGGCCTGACGGGTCAGAGGCTGCTGGGGGTTCCCATCATCGTCCAGGCCTCACAGGTACCCACACACCTGGACACACCTGGACACGCAGGCCAGGGTGGTGGGGCAGATTGAACTGATGGTGTGTGTGTGTGTGTGTGTGTGTGTGTGTGTGTGTGTGTGTGTGTGTGTGTGTGTGTGTGTGTGTGTGTGTGTGTGTGTGTGTGTGTGTGTGTGTGTGTGTGTGTGCGCGCGCAGGCAGAGAAGAACCGAGCTGCTGCTGCTGCTGCAGCCAACAGCCTTCAGAAGGGATCGTTTGGCCCCATGCGGCTCTACGTCGGCTCACTGCACTTCAACATCACAGAGGAGATGCTGAGAGGGATCTTTGAGCCGTTTGGACGGGTGGGACACACACACACACACAAATACACACACCTCCATCTAGGTGTGAACTACGACCCCCTCTGTTATTGCTCTCTTTCCTGTCAAACTACTTTCAAATAAAAGCCACTGGATCAAAAATACTTTTAACAAAAGAAACTTAAAATGACATAAAACTAACAAGTAATTTCTCAGTGAAATAAATTGGCTAATAATTCCTTCATATTGATACAAAGTCCTAGTTAAGTTTGCAGATAACCTTTCATCGATATGAAGTTATTGACTTTAAATAAGCTCCTATATTTTACTGTAAACTTAGTTTTGTTTGATTAATTCTTTTATAAAACTGAAACTCCATTAGTTTCAGGTAGGACACATTTACAAGCAAAGAGGTTATTTGATCTTAAATTCTACTTATATTTGTGTCCAGTTTTGCTTCGTTAAAGGGTTTGTAAACTCCAGTTAGTGATTGATCAGAACCTGATTCATCTGATTGATCGGCCTGTTTGTGTCGCTCAGATTGAAAACATCCAGCTGATGATGGACAGCGAGACGGGCCGATCTAAAGGCTTCGGCTTCATCACGGTGAGTTCCTCCTCATCATCAGTAGATCAGAACCTGGTGACGTCTTTAGCCTGTTAGCATTAGCCACCCGTGGTGCAGCGGTTCTGTGTTGTCAGTTCGCAGACGCAGAATGCGCTAAGAAGGCGCTGGAGCAGCTGAACGGCTTCGAGCTGGCGGGCCGGCCCATGAAGGTGGGTCATGTGACTGAGCGGACCGACGCCGCCGCCGCTTCCTCCTTCCTGGACAATGACGAGCTGGACCGATCCGGCGTGGACCTGGGAACCACGGGGCGGCTGCAGCTGATGGCCCGGCTGGCTGAAGGTGAGGCCGCGTTCCCTCTCACACCTGCTGTAACTTCGTCCCCACTATAAAGGCTTACCTGTGTGTGTGGACAGGTACCGGCCTGCAGATCCCTCCTGCCGCTCAGCAGGCGCTGCAGATGAGCGGCGCCATCGCCATCGGCGCGCTGGCGGCCGTGTCAGGTAAACGCATCACCAGTCAGCTGATCTGCAGCTGCTCCTCCATTTCCTCTCAGTTTCTCACCTGTCTGTGTTCCAGCTGCCATGAATCCACCTCTGACCATGAACATGAGCACTCCGGCGCTGAACCTGCCGTCTCAGCCGCTCGCCACTCACTGCTTCCAGCTGTCCAACATGTTCAACCCCAACAGGTGAGCGCACACCTGGTCATCAGACTGGAGATCGCTGCTGATGTTAGCTAACGTCAAAAAACACAACTCTGCATCGTGGTGTTTCTATTAAATAAGAGATTAAATGAAGATCACATGTGAATAAGTTTGTTCACCCAATAACTCAATAGTAAACATCCTCCTACTTCCTGTTTTCTTCTTCTTTCCCCCTGCAGTAACAGCCAGTTAGCATCAGAACACTCATGTGCTGCAAAAACAGTGTTTCCATTGAAATGCACAATTTTTTATTAACTTTGACAAAGTAAGACAAATACAAGACACTTGTTAATATTCAAGCTGTCATAGGATGTATCTCCCATTTTAATGAGTTAATATTACATAACGAATCAGACTGAATAGCAGCCTTCACTGAGAAGCTCTTACATGTTTCAAGTTTGATCAATTAAGTTTCAAGATTAATTAAACAGGAAAATCTAACAGGTCCAAACCTTTAGCTCAGAATATGATTCTGCTAATGCTAAGCTAACTGCAGGTAGGTTTTTCTTCTGGTCAGGTTGATGCATCCTCACCTGGTTTCTTTCTGTTCTTTGAGGAAGGAATCTTCTCATTCTTCTGTTTCCTGGAGGTCTGAGCCATAAAAGAGCCCAGATCTCTTTCTGTAAATGGGTTCTGTAAAGGAACCTTTCCTTCATGTATCCCGATCTGCATAAAGTTATACGTAAAACGTTTATACCCCAGACCCCAGATCTCCATCCTTACTGGTCCCAGCTCAGAGCTGACAGGAAGTGATGAAGTGAGTGAGCAGGAAGTGATGATCTGTGTGCTCCAGCTGAGTGTGTGTGTGTGTCTGTGTGTGACAGAGTGTGTGTTGTGTTTCAGTGAGAACGTGCTGGGCTGGGAGCTGGACATCCAGCACGACGTCATCGAGGAGTGCAACAAACACGGAGGAGTCGTCCACATCTACGTCGACAAGAACTCAGCCGAGGTACGCCTCTGACCTTTGACCTCTCTGATGGTTTGGAATAAGAAAAGCTGGAGGTTATATCAGCTAGTTTTGATCACTTGTTAAAACTAATGAAACAGCTTGTAGTGAGACATCCTGTCAGGTGGAGGATCTCTGTCTTTCAGGGGAACGTTTATGTGAAGTGCCCGTCCATCCCGTCTGCCATGGCCGCCGTTAACGCTCTGCACGGCAGGTACTTTGGAGGTAAGACCTGCTGTCACATGACCACTGTGGACCAATCACAGAACGGTTATGACTGACATGATCTCACCTGTGTTTCCAGGTAAAATGATCACAGCGGCGTACGTCCCTCTGCCCACCTACCACAACCTGTTCCCAGAGTCTGCCACTGCCACGCAGCTGCTGGTTCCACCGGCCAGGCGGTGATCAACAACACCGACTTCTGATTGGACGATAGATCCCGCCTTCTTTTTAAACCCTGAAATCCCATTGGACCAGTTTGACTCCTTGTCTGACTGCCAGCAGAGGGCGCTCTCTGTTTTCTTCTGGACATAAACAACCACCTCTCCTCCCATTGGTTGCTTCCAAACACTGGTCACATGATCATGTGATGCAACACTATCGACTTCCTAATTCCTTAGTTTCATTGGTGAGATCTCTCTGCGGCCCGCCCCCGACCTCCAACTATTGGCTCTGTGAGCCGTGTGGGGGCGAGGCAGCGACAAGCTGTCAGTTGATTGGTTGGGCTGAAGGTTTAGTATTTAAGTGTTTTTTCTAAAGCAAATTTGATTTTGTAAAATTATTGATTAAAAATTATTTTCATGTCTCTCTGAAATGTTGCAGTCTGTCTTTCTGGCTCCTGATTGGCTGGAGGCCGAGGAAGGACCTCCCACTAAAACAACTGGAGATTATTTGAACTCAAATTAATTTCAGTTCACAAAGTTTTATTTGAACAGTTTGACTCAGACGCAACCAGCAGGGGGAGCTGTAAAGGTTTGTTCTCTACCAGGATGAAGTCTTCTTCTCTGACTTCAGGTTCCGCAGCAGACGGGGTGGCCCAGTACTCCCAGTCAGCACTGGTTCATACCTGACTGTCCAGGTGGTGATCCGATGTTGAATCTGACAGCATCATTGTCAGAACATGAGTGGTCAGCTCGTGTTCTGACCACCAGAGGGAAGCAGAGCGCAAACCCAACGTCCAAACTGTGGTCCTGCATGTTTCAGGCCGTTTACACACTTGATAAACTGGTGAACTCGATTAGATTGGAAACAAAAACTTCAACATCGACGAAGACACTGAGCGCAACCTTCTTCACCAAATGGAAACTAAAACAGCGACATCAGATTTTAGTTGTTGGAGGATTTCTCTTTAGTCTTCAACTAAAGACCGCGAGTCATTTCTCCTGTTAGCTGGCTTGGTTGTATTTACCCAGAATTCTCTGTGCTGTCGTCCATGTCTTGCGGTTGGAGCAGTCAATGGTGTTCAAATATGCTTTCAGTCCAACCCTGACCCAGGTTTCTAGTCAGTTCAGAGTTAGCTTAGCATTCACACCTCACCAACTGAACTGGACTTTCTAAACTAGTGGACTGGAGTTTGATGAAATCAAACTAATAAGAGCTGGTGTGAATGCACTCTGCAGAACTTTGACTGACTTTGGACTTATCTGTTCTGTTTCACTCCTTTGATTTGAAACCATTAGAGCAACTTGAAGCAGTCCATGAACAGAACCATGATCTGTCACTGGTTCTGATACTGCTGCTGACTGTAGATGTGTCCATTGGAACTCTGCTGGAACCTATATCTGACCTCAGAGGTCGTTCAGGTGGATCACGGTGATTGTGATGTCATCACGGTACCTGCGGGCCAGATCTGCCGGCAGACTCAGCATCCGGGCCAGGCGGTTCTGGTCCACGGATCCGTATCCGTCGTCACCCAGGGCGTGGCGCAGCAGGTGGGTGGCCGCGTTCTGGTCCTCCAGGACCGACTGGACTCGGCCCCTCCGCTCCAGCAGGAGGCGCTGCAGGCTGCCAAGGGTGGCGTCAGCGCTGGGGATGATGGGCCTCTGCTGCTGAAGACCTGAACAAGACCAGAACCAGAACTTGGCTCAAAGTTTTTTAACACAGTTCTCTGGTGGCAGCTTCAGCATCATCAACAGCTTGTGACTGCGATAGATCTATGATTGTAGCTCCCTGGTGAGGGAACTTCCTGCTCTACACATTAAAACTCCCATCGGATCACCTTAAACATTAAAGCAAAGCAGTCCAGATGTCTCCTGACCTGCCACATGGTCTCCAACCAGCTGGACCACCATCTGCCGGTGCATGAGCTCCCACAGGCCATCTGTTGCCAGGACCAGAAACTTGTCTGCAGGCTTCATGAGGTGTCGCGTGACCTCAGGTTGGGCACTCAGGTAGGGCGGGGTCAGGTAATGAGGCGGCAGAGTCCGCACCGACTCACTGATGGCAGAGAGGACATCTGGACGTGTGTCATAGAGTCTACTGAGCATGTCCGGGCTCCATTTAAAGCGAACGTCTCCGAAAGCCCTGAAGGGTAGCAGCAGGCCCAGCAGCCTGTCATGACGGACCACCGTCTTCCTCTCTGAAGCCGGGTGTTCCCCCAGAATCCTTTGCAGTTCTTCAGGGTTCTGGGCATTGTGGTCGTTGGTGAGGCTCAGCGCCGACCAGCCCCCGTCCTCTTTTTGGACTCCAAGAACTGCCCGACTGTCCCCCAGGTTGGCCACATGCAGGACGCCGTTGGAAACGTGAACAACACAAGCAGTGGAGCCTGACAGCGCCACCCGGAGAGGAGAGGACAGAGAAAAGCCTTCTCCCGGGATGGACACCCGTCTGTGGATGCGAAGAAGAAAAGTTACTGTAACAGAAAAAATGGAGACGGGCTTGTTTTCTAATCCAAAGACATGAAATCACATCAGACTTCTGTAGTGCTTTTTAGCACACACAAAGATGCTTGACAATGAAATCAGTCATTGCCATTCACATGTTGATGATGGCAAGCTACTAGATTGTAGCCACAGCTGCCCTGTCTGACGGAACCAAGCCTGCTATATTGTGGTACTGGCCGTTCTGATCACCACCAGCAGCTAGGGTGGGTGAAATGTCTTCCCCAAGGATAAAACAATGGACATGGATGGGGTTGTGGCTCGAACCAGTGACCCACAAATTGCAGGGGAAACTTCAACTGCCATTGCCGCAATTGCCCCAAAGAAGAGCCCAAGTGTTGGACATCTGAACCCTGGGAGGACCTGAGCAACAGGCAAGAAGTTCTAAACCCAAATCTGGAGAAACTATGTCAATGAGGAGAACCAGGAACCGGTTGGTGCCTTGCTCAAGGACAAAGCTTTCAGTGCTGTCTAAGGATTGGGCCATCACTCTGGACTCCTCCAATGAGTCCATCCATCATTGGACTCATCATTGGATGATGGGTCTTATCAATGAGTTCATTGATAAGCTCAGAGCTCAGTAAAACCTTTACTGAGCTTTTAAAGACAGTCATGTGTGTATGACATCATAGAGTCTCTTATGACATGCAGACCTGGGTGAGGACAGGGACAGGTGGACCTGAGCCTCCACAGACACATCATAGTCGAGACGTCTGAACGCATCCATCAGAGCTGATGTCACTCTGCCATCATCCTGCAGCCAGTCAGAGCAGAAACGAGAAATAATATCATATGAATCCTGGCAGAAAAGGCAGAACCTGACTAAGATCTGGTGTACTCATTGGGTAATGAAGAGTCTTGCTGTCTCCAGATTTCGGGGTAAGGTTACCTGTTCTGAACTGTGCCAGTGTTGGCCAGAACCTTAACCCCCATTGATCAATTTCTCTTTTGGTCTTAAAGGTATAGCATGAAACAAGTTCAACTTGACCTCCAACCCTCTTAGGTAAGATCACTATGGAATCTGGGTTAGTACCATCGGGTAACTGTACCTTCCCAGCAGGAGGTGAAGGTTTATGGTCAAAGCTGTGACAATCTCCCTATCCTGAATCACCTTCCTGTTAACGATCTGACAACAGCTGGTTACCATGTTATCCTCTTCATCATCCTCATCCAGCCTCTCCTGCCAGTAGTTCCTGAGGCTGTGGAAGGAGATGGCGCCACCATCGGGGCTGCTGTGATCCTGGGGGTGTTTGTGCCACTCCAACAGCGGTGGTACCGCCCGGTTCTCCTCCACGGCCCGGTCCAGTTCCTGCAGCGTTCTCAGTGGCAGCATGGCCACAGTGAAGTAGTAGAAGAGCCTTTGGCTGATGGCCTGAGCACATGACGGACCTCCGTGGCCGTCAAACACACCGAACAGAACCCCGCCCCGACCCAGCAGGCAGGTGGCGCTGCTCCGTCGATCCTCGCTGGGGTGGTTAGAGGGAAGTGTGTTGCTATGGAAACCCAGCACTTCATGGGAGGCGGGCCCTCTGGGCAGGATGTGGCTGTGTTCGTTGGCCTGGTAAGAAAGGAGCAATGTGATGGAACCAGCAGCAGAACCTCTGAATGTTGGACCCGTCTCACCTTTAAGATTCTGTTGATCTGGGCCTGGCTCAGCTGGCCCACTTCCTGGCACCGTCTGCTCCTGCTGCTTGCTGGGTAATGCAGTCTACGGAGTTCAGGTGGTGCTGGAGCAGAGGTCAGACAGTGGGATTGCTGGATCTCCAACCAGCATCTTCTAGTTTGGGCTCCACTTTTTCGAAGCATAATCGCTTCCAGAACCAGAAGAACCTGGAGAAGTTTTAGGAAGATCCGCTGATGGACCACAGCAGGATGTTGGAGGAACTAGATGAATATTAATGCTAACAGAGTTAATTTCCTCTGTTTTATTGTAAATAATTGAAGGTGCTGCAATCTACAGCAATAGAACCACAATGGTGTAAAAATTAATAGAATAGAATAGAATAGAAGAAGAATAGAATAGAATAGAATAGAATAGCATTTATTGTCATTGAACAGGATTCAACGAAATTTCTATCGCAACTCCCGTGCAAAAAGTCAAATATATACAATATTAAATAAACAAATACACAATAATAATAATAATATACAACTAAAATTAACTAAAGACACTCAACCACATCAAAGAAGAAGCAGCAGGTCCAATTATGGTAAAGTGCAGATGATGTGACAGTGCAAGTGCAGAACAATATGGCTGTGTGGGGGGGGGGTGTGGGGGGGGGGGTGTATGTGAGGTTATGATATGTGTGGGAGGGGGCGGCAGGGAGTAATGGCTCTGACGGCTGAATACAGCAGTTTCTACCCCTGGGTTCAGTCATTGGGTCCTCTTCCTTTCACATGAGCATCTTGAAGCTGCTGGTCCAGTGAGACCTGGAGACCATCAGGTCTACTGGTTCCTCACCTTCTATTGTTCTCACAAAGCAGGTCCCAGACTGACAGCCCGTTCTGAAACATCTGGAATAGTCAGAAATACACTGACCTGATGGAACCACCAAAGAAAACTGTCTGGACTTGAGGTGTCATGGCTGCAGTTCACAGCCACACAAATGTGGCTGTGAACATTCAATCAGACCACACTGATATTTAGTTTCTTTAAATATATGATTTAAATTACAGAGTAACTGTTTTTTGTTTAAATGCAACACATCATTGGTGGAGAAATTGGTTCATACCACAGCATCAAGTTTCTTATATAGTTTCAGTTGGAGTTTTGTGTTGAATTCTGTTACTTTGACCTCTTATGGGCCCAAATTTGTCATTTTTCATTATTTCTGTATTAGGTTAAATAAAAAAACGATTCTTAATGGATTCAAACCTGTGCCCGACTCTCCTTTTGCTGCTCGGTCCATCACACAAGCGATGGCAGGATCACATAAACTCATGAGAGGAACTCATCTGCCAAGGAGTGACTATCGGACCTCAGACAGCAGCAGAGACTGGGATGAAATTCAGGCTGCTCCAGGAGGAACCCGAAGATCAGAAACCCTGATTAAACCAAGAGTTGGAGGACAAGGTGAGCTAGCTGGGCAGCAGTGTTGTGGTTCCTCCTAGTGACTGATCTCAGTGCATCAGAAGGTCTGATTCCTAAGGGAAAGCCTTAAGGTTGTGTATTAGGTTTGTTTCATTTACTGCACATCTAAACAATCTCAATGTGCCTGAAACAAATGTTCACTTATATCCTGACGACAGTCATATATTTCTTTGCATCGTTTTGGTCTTAAATTGGGAATGAAACACTTCCAAATTGCTTTACATGTCTTTTAGAACAACATTCTGCAGCTAAACATGGTTCTGAAACCTTCTAAGACAAACCTTATAACATTTAGCACCTCTAAGAGCCAAGTAGACTGGAGGGTATCGGCTCCAATCAAACAAGTAGACTGTTTGCTTGGAGACCAAAATTACAACATTTGTTGCATTTTCAGAAGTTGTGGCTTGTTTTCATACTGAACTTTGTGAAACCAACGAACCTTTTGAGAAACCTGTTCCCCTCCTGGCCTGTGGGGGCGCTGCACCAAGAACCACTGAAGGAAATTACACAAAAACCAACAAAGAAGACACTGAGCACAACTTTTCTTCACCAAATGGAAACAAAATGGAAGTGTCAGATTTTGGTGGTTGGAGGATTTCTCTTTTGTCTTTGGCTAAGAACATTTCTGCTGCTAATGCTAGGCTAGCATGTTAGCTTTGGTTGCATTTACCCACAATGCCCTGCACTGTAGTCCACTTCCTGCTATTGGAGCGGTCTCGGTGCACTTGGCGTTTACATATACCGAGAAGCGAACCAGAGTTCACTTCAACCAAACCCAAACCAAGATATGGAGGACCAGAGGTCAGAGGGCAATGATTGTTCATACGTCCACAACCGAACTGGACTTTCTCGACAAATGGACTGGAGTCGGATTGAAGAGGACTAAACAGGTCCTCTTGTGTTCACCCTGGATGGGAGGAGCATCAAGTCAGTCCTAGTCAAATCCTGCCTTCGGGTTGTTTTTCCCTCCAGCTGCGTTCATTTATTCCTTACTTTCCTGTGGAACTGTTCCTGCTCATTTATCCCTTTGATGGTGAAGAAACGTGACACATGTCCCAACAAAATCATCCCTAATCTGCATTTTATCTCTAAAGTAAAGGACAGTGACAGCTCAACTTCTTCTGTTCTGGAAGGCAAAACAACAATCTGAACGTCTCAGGCAGCTGAACTGGTTCTGCAGTTCTTCACTCACCTGGAACAGTTCAGTCAGTCTCTGGAGATCAGCCTCTTCCTCAGAATTCAACCATCGTTTTCATGCTTCAGTGAAAACAGTGACTGTTTTATGCTTCTGTCCTTCATCAGAACTGTTGCAGCAGGTCACTTCCTGTTTCCTGCAGGTAACCTTTGGCATCGTTTATGTCACTAATCAGTCATCCATGAACCACCTGCAGGTCTGCAGGAACTCCTGCCTCCTGGAGTCTGTTCCAGGTCTTCGTCATATCTGAGCATATCTGATTTAATCTGAGCTTTTACTTGAAAGCTGAACATATCAGAGAGCAAGAAGTTTGCTTTAATTTTGGATTCTGTCTTTTCCTCTGTCTCTTTTAGCCTCTTCCATCTGCTAACATGTAACATGCAGCTTACATAACCATGTTTATGTCATCATGTGAACCTGATTAGGCTGGCCTTTAGGGAGAGAACAGACTGAAGAATAAAAGCTAAATGCTGCAGACTTTGCCTCACCTGGTTCCGTCAGGTGAGCTCAGTGGGCCGCGCTGAAACTCTGGTTCTGATCCATTTAGAGGACATGTAGGACTTATAACATTTAATCATTTTTCATAATTAAAGCCTGTTTTCATACATAACCAAATCTCATTATTTCTCAAGGTGATTTACACTGAGTGGTTTCTCGGGTTCTGGAGCTGGTAAATGGACCTGGAATGAATGAAGTCCAATGCCTTTAAGCTTGAAGTTTAAAGTGAGAGCAGAAAGTTAATCTGAGATTATGAATGTAATGAAAGGAGCTGCTGCCTCGGAGCAGAACCATGTGCAAGATCTGCTCAATAGCAGGTTCTGCTCTGAGTGGACTCCGCTCTGCCTGATCCAAACAGCAGAGCTCATCGGACTGGACTTCATGGGAGATACAAGAACATGAATCACACTAAGAAGATTCCCAGGTCTTTCCAGAACCAGCTCAGTGGGTCTGAAACGGTTCTGATTGTCTCCATGGGGAAACTAGTAAAAATAATCCAGACAGACAAAATTGGAAAAATATTGAATGTGCTGTTTCTAAATGAGATTGCTATCTCTTTAATTTTATTGTTTGCTCTCGCTACTTATTTATTGAATTGTAATATAATTTTACCTGTATGATCTTTTAAATAAAATAAACCAAAAATGGATTTAAAATGAAAATAAAGTCCATTTCACGTTTTACTTTCTGTGAAACAAGCTGCAGTAAAGCTTCTCTCCAGCAGGGCGCTAACCGGTAACCGCTCTGACCGGACCGGAAGTAGCGGAACTGTAGCTGCTGCGCCTTGTTTCAGCTCCAGCATCTTTGGACCACAGCTGCAGTCATGGTGAGACTTTCAGCGATTCTGGTTCCAGCCTGGTCCGTTCAGTGCTGGGATATGACCCGGTTCTGTTCTAGAGAACCGGTCGGTTCTGGAGCCGCTGTACTGGGAGTGAACCAGTACAGCGGTTTGAACGGGTTCAGAATTTTTTGCATATGATTCGGTTCTAATGTAGAAAATCGGTCCGCTGTTATCCAGTTAAAACAAAGCGGTCCGGTTCGGCAACTGATCGGAACCAGTCGCTGGTATGAAGTTGGATAATCGGTGTTCTGGTTCTGTTTGCAGGCGAGGAACGCTGAGAAGGCCATGTGAGTAACAGGTTCTGTCCGAACCCACCATCCGGCTCACCTGTCCAACAGAAACACAGTTTGGAACCTTGAATCGGTTCTCTAAAGCCGCTGATTCGGACAGTTCCGACCCATCTGCCCAAAACCCGTCCTGTTGTCCGAACCAGCTCCGCTTCCCATGGGTTATCTTCTCCCTCTGCTCTGTCTTCAGGACGGCTCTGGCCCGCTTCAGGCAGGCGCAGTTGGAGGAGGGGAAAGTCAAGGTCTGGTTCCGTTTGGTTCTGCCTGGTTCTGTTTTGGACCGATCTGTCTGAGTCTGACCTGTCTCCCCGCAGGAGAGGAGACCCTTCCTGGCTTCAGAGTGCAGCGAGCTTCCAAAGGCCGAGAAATGGAGACGACAGGTACCAACAGAACCCTGGCAGTACTCTCAAGTATTCAGTAGTAACTGTGTAGTTACTGTGTAGTTTATTAGTGACTGAACTGTCCAGTCACTGTAGTACTGTGCAGTACCATGTAGTACTGTGCAGTACCATGTAGTACTGTGCAGTACCATGTAGTACTGTGCAATACCATGTAGTACTCTGTAGTACTGTGCAGTACCATGTAGTACTGTGCAGTACCATGTAGTACTCTGTAGTACTGTGCAGTACCATGTAGTACTGTGCAGTACCATGTAGTACTGTGCAGTACCATGTAGTACTGTGCAGTACCATGTAGTACTGTGCAGTACCATGTAGTACTCTGTAGTACTGTGCAGTACCATGTAGTACTGTGCAGTACCATGTAGTACTCTGTAGTACTGTGCAGTACCATGTAGTACTGTGCAGTACCATGTAGTACTGTGCAGTACCATGTAGTACTGTGCAGTACCATGTAGTACTCTGTAGTACTGTGCAGTACCATGTAGTACTGTGCAGTACCATGTAGTACCATGTAGTACCATGTAGTACCATGTAGTACCATGTAGTACTGTGCAGTACCATGTAGTACTGTGCAGTACCATGTAGTACTGTGCAGTACCATGTAGTACTGTGCAGTACCATGTAGTACCGTGTAGTACTGTGCAGTACCATGTAGTACCATGTAGTACTGTGCAGTACCATGTAGTACCGTGTAGTACTGTGCAGTACCATGTAGTACTGTGCAGTACCATGTAGTACTGTGCAGTACCATGTAGTACTGTGCAGTACCATGTAGTACTGTGCAGTACCATGTAGTACCATGTAGTACCATGTAGTACCATGTAGTACCATGTAGTACTGTGCAGTACCATGTAGTACTGTGCAGTACCATGTAGTACCATGTAGTACTGTGCAGTACCATGTAGTACTCTGTAGTACTGTGCAGTACCATGTAGTACTGTGCAGTACCATGTAGTACTGTGCAGTACCATGTAGTACCATGTAGTACTGTGCAGTACCATGTAGTACCATGTAGTACCATGTAGTACCATGTAGTACCATGTAGTACCATGTAGTACTCTGCAGTACCATGTAGTACCATGTAGTAGCATGTAGTACTCTGTAGTACTGTGCAGTACCATGTAGTACTGTGCAGTACCATGTAGTACCATGTAGTACCATGTAGTACTCTGCAGTACCATGTAGTACCATGTAGTAGCATGTAGTACTCTGTAGTACTGTGCAGTACCATGTAGTACTGTGCAGTACCATGTAGTACCATGTAGTACTGTGCAGTACCATGTAGTACCATGTAGTACTGTGCAGTACCATGTAGTACTGCAGTACCATGTAGTACCATGTAGTACTGTGCAGTACCATGTAGTACTCTGTAGTACTGTGCAGTACCATGTAGTACCATGTAGTACTGTGCAGTACTATGTAGTACTGTGCAGTACCATGTAGTACTCTGTAGTACCATGTAGTACCATGTAGTAGCATGTAGTACTGTGCAGTACCATGTAGTACCATGTAGTACCATGTAGTACTGTGCAGTACCATGTAGTACTGTGCAGTACCATGTAGTACCATGTAGTACTGTGCAGTACCATGTAGTACTCTGTAGTACTGTGCAGTACCATGTAGTACCATGTAGTACTGTGCAGTACTATGTAGTACTGTGCAGTACCATGTAGTACTCTGTAGTACCATGTAGTACCATGTAGTACCATGTAGTACCATGTAGTACCATGTAGTACTGTGCAGTACCATGTAGTACTGTGCAGTACCATGTAGTACCATGTAGTACTGTGCAGTACCATGTAGTACTGTGCAGTACCATGTAGTACTCTGTAGTACTGTGCAGTACCATGTAGTACTGTGCAGTACCATGTAGTACTGTGCAGTACCATGTAGTACCATGTAGTACTGTGCAGTACCATGTAGTACCATGTAGTACCATGTAGTACCATGTAGTACCATGTAGTACTCTGCAGTACCATGTAGTACCATGTAGTAGCATGTAGTACTCTGTAGTACTGTGCAGTACCATGTAGTACTGTGCAGTACCATGTAGTACCATGTAGTACCATGTAGTACTCTGCAGTACCATGTAGTACCATGTAGTAGCATGTAGTACTCTGTAGTACCATGTAGTACCATGTAGTACTGTGCAGTACCATGTAGTACCATGTAGTACTGTGCAGTACCATGTAGTACTGTGCAGTACCATGTAGTACCATGTAGTACTGTGCAGTACCATGTAGTACTGTGCAGTACCATGTAGTACCATGTAGTACTGTGCAGCAGTACCATGTAGTACTCTGTAGTACTGTGCAGTACCATGTAGTACCATGTAGTACTGTGCAGTACTATGTAGTACTGTGCAGTACCATGTAGTACTCTGTAGTACCATGTAGTACCATGTAGTAGCATGTAGTACTGTGCAGTACCATAGTACCATGTAGTACCATGTAGTACTGTGCAGTACCATGTAGTACCATGTAGTACTGTGCAGTACCATGTAGTACTGTGCAGTACCATGTAGTACCATGTAGTACTGTGCAGTACCATGTAGTACCATGTAGTACTGTGCAGTACCATGTAGTACCATGTAGTACTGTGCAGTACCATGTAGTACTCTGTAGTACTGTGCAGTACCATGTAGTACCATGTAGTACTGTGCAGTACTATGTAGTACTGTGCAGTACCATGTAGTACTCTGTAGTACCATGTAGTACCATGTAGTAGCATGTAGTACTGTGCAGTACCATGTAGTACCATGTAGTACCATGTAGTACTGTGCAGTACCATGTAGTACCATGTAGTACTGTGCAGTACCATGTAGTACTGTGCAGTACCATGTAGTACCATGTAGTACTGTGCAGTACCATGTAGTACTCTGTAGTACTGTGCAGTACCATGTAGTACCATGTAGTACTGTGCAGTACTATGTAGTACTGTGCAGTACCATGTAGTACTCTGTAGTACCATGTAGTACCATGTAGTAGCATGTAGTACTGTGCAGTACCATGTAGTACCATGTAGTACCATGTAGTACCAT